CCGGAGCCCACCTCCCCGGCCCAGCCCCCCTCCCGCCTGCAGCGCCCGGCCCAGGCCTAAACTGGGGTCCACACCCCACGTGCCGGCCAGGCGCCCCCTGGTGGCCACGGTCAGAACCGCCCAGTCGGCCTTTGCCGGCCCGATCGGTCCCCTCCGGAACCTCTCCGTCATCCCTGGGAGTCAGGGTTCATCGCCTCATGTTTCAGATCAGGGGCTTTCTTCCCTCCGCGGGGACACCCGGAATAATGGTTTCTGTCTCGGTGACTCCTCCAAACCCCCGCAGCGCCTGGGCCTGTCTCCTCCATCGCCCCCAGGCCAGGTGGGTGCCCAGGGGCAGCTGCCCAGCGATGGTGGGTCAGCGGGTACCACGCTCGCTACTCGCCAGGGGCCGTGTTGAGCATTTCCCATGGATCACAGCAGGCCCTTGGATAACGTCCTTTCCTCCGATGTTGTTTTGCTACAGCATTGATGAGATACTGCAGGAGCTTAACCCCCCTTTATATCACTCAGCCTATTATAAAATTGCTTTCTTTAGATGTCATTTCACTTGAAGGCACAGAACCTACTGCCAACGTTAAGGGAGGGCTTCCTGTATTTCATTTACTCCTTACAACATTACGAGGTAAATACCACCCTGTTCTCATTTTATAGATGAGAAAACGGACAGAAGTTAAGCGCTTTGCCCAAGACCCCAGCGAAGTAAGTGGCAAAGCCACTGTGAACACAGGCACTCAGAGCCCAGATTCTGTTCTTTAGGTTCTTTTCTGTGTTGATCTTGGACAGTGGTTTGAACCCCTGGGGGAAGTGAAGATGGGGAATATATAAAATAGAGTCACTGTAGCTAAGCTGCAAAGATTACAAACATTACAAAAGTCGAGATATGAGGAAAGACTCTTTTTCTAAGTAGCCTGGGAACTGAAACTTTTTTGAACTTTCCAGTCCTGCGTCAATGCCTGGATATACATCTGGGCCCCCAGGTAAGCCTCTAATTACCCCTGACGGTGTCCCGCTGACATCTGTTATCTCAGCCCCTGGGACCTGCGCCCATGTTCCAGGTCACCTGACTTCCATCCCCCTGCTGCCCATCATCTGACTGGTGACCCTCCTGCAGCAATCCCCGGACAAGAACGCAGGGCTGATAATTCTCAAGAATGCACTTTTTGCTCTAAAAACCTTTTCCTTTCTTCTCTGGAACACTTCTAGGTTTACAGTTTGCAAAACCCAAGGCCCTTGAATGAATCTTTATTCCTTTATTCTAGCAAAGCCTCCAGACTCTTTGTGAGTTTGTTTGACACCTCTGAGCCTCCCTTTTCTCATCTGTACAATGGGGTAATATCTGCCCTATGGGACTGTCAGTGGATTCACACAGGAAACTGTCTCTTCCCACTCACAGCCTGGAGTGGTCTGTGGAGCTTCTCGTACTCCCGGGTTCTGGGAGGGGGGCAAATCCACAGGAGCTTTCTCTGTCATGTTGGCATCTTTTCCACAGGTGCCGACGTCTAACTCTCTCCACACCACTCTGGCCAAGGACTCTCTCTTATGGAGGCCCTTCACACCACCGAGGTTGGCTCCTTCACAAAACCACCGTGGCTGTTCACACAGACTTGGTTCAGTCACACCTTCCTGCCCTGTGTGTGCAGATGTCACCAGGGCCCAGCTCCCTCAGCAGGGCCTGTCACCACAGAGTGCCCTGTCCCCGTGGGCACTGACTGACCAGTCAGCACACTCCCTCCCAGCCTGCTGGACACCACTCACAGACAAACCAGCCTGCCTCTGTGTTGGCAGGAATGCCTGGTTCTGGAGGCAGGGGAAATGGTAGGTATGGGGAAGGGGATTGTTTGAGGGAGGGAGGTGGGCTTCCCAGTGACCTCAGAATCATCCCACAAATACCTCCCTCTGCCTTTGTCTGGAGTGAGGCAAATCTCAGCCTGGAGAGAGGTCAGGCTCCCTGGCAGGGGCTGGGCAGGCCCCCAGCTAGAGCCAGCAGGAGGCCTTCCCCCATGAGGCACAGGATGAGGCCCCACTGGGCCTGGTGAGGGGACCAACTGCTGCATTCTTCTAGCCCATTTCGAAACAGGGTTTCAGTTCCTCAGCACCTCAGGAGTCCTGTGGAAAAAGTGACTGCCAGGCTCGCCCCCAAGGTAGTTCCTCAAATACTGCCCACACAGAAGCTGCCTTACTGGAGCCCAGGGCTGCGTTTACCCAGAACTAACGGGGTGGTTTTTCCCTTGCCTTCCTCTTTACCCCACTTCTTTCCCACTCTTCCCCACGCCCTGCTCAGCTCCAGCCTTCCCGAGCTGCTCACAGCTCCCCTAAAGGCTGTGCCCTTTCCTCCATTCGGGCTTTTAGGGGCTGTTTTCTCAGAACACAGCCGCCTCCCTGTCCTACACCCTGATGCTCCTCAGGAGTCGCCTGCCAGAGCAGCTCCCCTCAGCCCTGCTCCAGCTCCGGGCGCCCCCCTCTGCTGGACCCAGAGCTCCCCGCTCTGTGGCCTGTTCTGACTCCCCCAGGAGGAGTGTGCCACCTCAGGGCCGCTCTTTTCTGCCTCACCACTTCTTTCTGGCAACGAACACAAGCCTGGAGCTTCGCAGGAGGTTCATAAATGGCTGTTAAATGATCAGATGACTATAAGAAGCTGCATGGGTACCCAAAAGTCAACTTTCCCAGAGCCGTGCAGGTACAGCTGGAATAAAACACACAAAAGTCTCCAGGGGCCAGGGAGGTGGCTCAGCAGAGACACTGGTCAGCAGGTCCACAGGGAGCTGGGGACATGTCCCTTCTCTAGAGGGTCAGCTCTTCCACTGTTTCATGAGAAGCCAGAATC